AGCAGAGAGACCGAGAGCAAGAGACCAGAACCAAAACAAATGATCACATCACACCAATTTTAAAATATTAACATTGGCTTCCTGTAACTTACAGGATTGATTTCAAAGACCTTTTACTTACTTTTTAATCATTAATTGGCCAATGACCTCTGTAGATAGCAGAGATGTTTGAAACGTAGCGCCCTTCAAAATCACTTAGGTCAGCAGATAAATCCCAACTGGTACAACCCAGAGCCCGCACCAAGCACGGAGAGGCTGCCTTTAGCTGCTATGCGGTCCGTCTCTGGAACTGTCTTCCAATATACATTACGACCTCTCCCACCATTTCCATTTTTAAATCCAGATAAAAAACAAAACTTTTTCATGATGCCTTCCATTAACCTTTCCTTGCATCTGTGGTCTACTAGTTCTTTATCTGTACTGTGTTAAATTTATTCTATATGTATTTTATATGTTTACCTATTCTGTGTTGTTTTATCTTTGTTCTATATTTTAAAGTAAATAATTTGGTAACGATTCCTTTTACAGTTCTTAATTACTAAGTACTTACATGGTAATTACATAGTAAGTTAAAGTGTATGATTGTGTAATTAAAGTGAATACTTGTAATAAAGTGTAGTTATTGTATAAAGCAGTATATACTGGGAATGATTAATAAAAATAAAAACTAGAATTGAACCTGAGTTACATGGTAATAACATTTTAAGAACTCCGAAACAATGATACACTTTAACTCACTATGTAATTACCATATAAGTACTAAGTAATTAGAGGACTGTAAAAGAAAGCGCTACCAATAATTTGCTTTTATTTTGTGTACTATGTTCTGTGTCAATATTCTTTGATTTTATTTTACACAACATGATGTGACATTTTTACTAATTCATTTCACTTGTGATTGTTTTATTGGGCTACTGTTTTGTGTGTGAAATGGGCTATATAATAAACTTGACTTGAGAGAGCGTTCATAATCATGTTTTATTATTATATTTGTGAATAAATGAAAAAAAAAACCAACTCAGAAGTACCCCTGAAGGACTTAGTTGTTTATCCTTTTATCAAAACTCATTTAGAACCTGAAAGGGTTAATGCAATTATCTAATCAACCAATCACATGGCAGTTGCTTCAGTGCATTTAGTGGCGTGGTCCTGGTCAAGACCATCTCTTGAACTCCAAACTGAAAGTCAGAATGGGAAAGAAAGGTGATTTAAGCATTTTTGAGCGTGGCATGGCTGTTGGTGCCAGACGGGCCGGTCTGAGTATTTCACAATCTGCTCAGTTACTGGGAGTAGACGCGCACCAAGCATTACATCAGACCATTTCTAAATCAGCACCTTCACAACACTTTTTGTTTGCTTCTCGAAACTGCTTCAAAGAAAAACAAAACATCAAAGGTTTCTCCCACATTCTTTACAGAAAATAAATCTTTTTCAGTTTGTTTATAGGTCATGAAATCAAGAGAAAAATAAAATTGGTCACAATGAATTGATAGAGCATCTCAAATACAACATTTATTTACTCTTACGTTTGCCAGGGCTTTTAAAGAAACCGCTAAAAATAATAAAAATATGTGTTTTATTAGTCCCATTCTGAACACACAGGTGTGTTTTATTCTGCTCCAGCAGGTGGCGCTAGTGCACCTTTACGCTAGTCATTGACCACCGGAAGAAGCAGAAACCGAAAGCTGCTAGCAGAGCTAGCTTGTTGTTCTGGTGTGTGAGGAGAATATTTGAGGCTCTGCAGTAAAAATGTCTTCACTTCAGTCTCTGGGAGAGTTGATCAGCTAAAGCGACTAACTGCTGCTGCTGCATAAATCTTCTCACCAGGCTGTGGAAACTTTCTTCTCCTCCTCAACAACTTGGTGGAGTTCTTTCCAGAACCAGAGAAGATATTCTGCGGTCTTCGTGACAATCGGAGCTCCAGAATCAGGTTGTGGGTGAGAAAAGCTTTTCTCTAGACTTCCTGCCCTCTGGATCTGCTGCTGTTCCTTTGGCCAGAACCAAAGCGTTGGATCTTTAATCTCCTGCGTTGTTCTGAAGCAGCATCTTAATCAGCTCTCCTGCTTTGTTTCTATTGCAGCTGTTAGCTAAACACGGCTAAAGAAAACCTGCTACCACTTCAGGATCATCCATCAGCTGGGACTGATTCATCGTGTGTTCTTCACCACCTGGACCTGGACAGCATGGACACAGGTACTGGTGGATGAATGAATATATTGTCAGTATATCGTGGGACATTACAGTGAAATTATGAGAATGGGGTTCAATCTTTAAAATAATGATCTGTATATGTTTAGCAATCCTGGGGTTCTAAAAAACCCCAAAGCGTTTTACATCACAACCAGTCATTCACTCGTTCACAGACTGTTGTAGAACCTTGAAGTAAGGGCTGCTCCATTATGACAAAAATAATAATCATGATTATTGTGACTGAAACTGAGATCACGATTATTTAAGACGATTTTTCTATTTATGTTGATTTTATTTGTTTTTATTCAGTCATAAAATTGCTCAGGGCACAATCAGGACAAAAATAAATAAGAAACAAGATGATCACTAAAATAACTCCTGATTCCCGGTATAAAAAGACCAATATACTTATAGCTCATAGTCTATGACCCAAGGGCTATAGACCTTGGTTTAACTCATTTAAGTCTAACCAGTACAGACCCAAATACCAATATCTTGCAAATACTGACAGCAAGAATTATACAGTGGCATTTATAACAAATAAACACAAATAAATTGATGTTCACAAAATGTTGCATAACATTTATTGAAGTTGTGTCAAGGTGCTGTAGGAGAGTGCACTAGCACCGTGTCCTCAGACAGATTAGTTATTTATCAGCGTAAGGAACTTATTTCTACCTTATTTATAAACCATTTATTTACAGGTCCATCAGTTAATGTGATAATTGTCCCAACCACAGCTGCACCCCCACCCCGGTCTCACAGCAATCGGGGCAAGCTGCACGTATGTTCCGCACGCGCACATTTAGCCGTTTTTAGCGGCTCAGGAGTCCGCAGGTACGGTGTGTGTCACTCACTCTGGTTATTCCAACAAGGAGCCGGCTCTGAGAGCCGTTTCTTTAGCGACTGACGCATCACTACATCATTCCCTTTCCTAATGTTGTGAAGAACGGTCAGGAGCGCAGGCGGAGTGTTTAGCTAACCTGCAGGAAATGTCGACGACAGTCATCCAGAAAGTAGCTAAGGGTTACCAGAGATGTTTCTGAGGTGTTCGCTAGGTATTTTTAAGTTAAAAAGTCAAGAAGGGGGTCTGAAAAGCTGTTAGAAATAGCGTCAAAGTCGCCAAGTTGGCAACACCCTAGGAGGAGCGCTTCATTTGCAACTCAGGGCAGCGCAAGTGGGAGGAGCAAATAATCGGCTTGTTTTGTTTTTTATAATCGTTCAAAACTCAGATCGTAAGGACAGAATGAATGGGGCCATGTATCGTGAGATTCTGAGCCAAAACCTCCTTCCATCAGTGAGAGCTTTGAAGATGAAACGTGGCTGGGTCTTCCAACACGACAATGATCCCAAACACACCGCCCGGGCAACAAAGGAGTGGCTCCGTAAGAAGCATTTGAAAGTCCAGAGCCCTTTTCAGATAGACATTCTGGAACATTTGCGGACAATTCAATCCGGTTTTTAACCGGAACTGTGTTTTCAGACACACCACTTTTGTACCGGAACTTTTCCTTTCGGCTGCGTTCACACAGCAAGGAAAAGTTCCAGATGTCTGACGGCGGCGGGTGGGTGGTGGGGGAGAGAGAATCGGACTTATGTTAAGAAGAAGAAGAAGAAGAAAATATCATTTCTATAGCGCCTCTCAAGATAAAAATCACGAGGCGCTTAAGCATAATTCTGCGCACACGAAGACGCATAAGAGACCTGGATGATGAAGCTCAATGGTTAAAGGAATCACTGAAGCGGTGTAAAGCGCTCCGTCGCGCGTCTAGGCGGTACCGTAGGAGGCGAGCTGCCGTGGTTCGCCGCATGCTACAGCAGCGGGCTATCTAGGTGCGCACAGCGTCCCCCGGTCCCCTCCTCCTCCCCCTCCCCCTTGTCCGGAACTCTACCTCACCAGTCTGAAGCAGCCACCCTGTCCGTAACAAGTCCGGACCTGTTACTAGGGGCTTCGTCCGGATAAATTCCAGAACACGTTATGCGGATGTTTGTATTCAGACACAAAGGTCTTACGGACAAAGTCCGGAACATTTCCGTTTTTCATGGCCTGTCTGAAGGGGGCTCTGGAGTGGCCTAGCCAGTCTCCAGACCTCAACCCCATAGAAAATCTGTGGAGGGAGTTGAAAGTCCGTGTTGCTCGGCGACAGCCCCAAAACATCACTGCTCTCAAAGATCTGCATGGAGGAATGGGCCAAAACACCAGCTACTGTGTGTGCAAACCTGGTAAAGACCTATAGTAATTGTTTGACCTCTGTTATTGCCAACAAAGGTTATGTTACAAAGTATTGAGTTGAATTTTTGTTATTGACCAAATACTTATTTTCCGCCCTGATTTACAAATAAATTCTTTAAAAATCCTGCCATGTCAATTCATGGATTTTTTTTTTCACATTCTGTCTCTCACAGTTGAAGTGTACCTATGATGAAAATTACTGACCTCTGTCATCATTTTAAGTGGGAGAACTTGCACAATCGGTGACTGACTAAATACTTTTTTGCCCCACTGTATATGTGTGTGTGTATATATATATATATATATATATATATATATATATATATATATATATATATATATATATATATATAGTATTTAGTATATACATATATTATATTGGCCATATATAATATAATAAAATAACAATGATAATGATGATAATAACAATATAATAACAACAATAAATCTCCCAAAATGCTAATTAGTAAGATTCCTTTGCTTTGTAGTGCTCTAGCCTGCTGAGAGCTTCAAAGTGAAAGATTGTTACTGACAGCAGCTACATCTAAGTGTTTATTCATTTTCCTTTAGACTGAATAGTTGCTGATTTTATCTTGGAGACGTTTCTCCTCACATCAGCTTCAGATCTAAAGCTTGGGTTGTGAGTAGGAGGCTTAGAAGTTCTGGTCAGAAACAAACACGCTGATTGTGATGGAAGTTTTTATTGTTCCTAAAGTAGAAATCTGTTTTTATCTAAATGAAGTTCATGTTCTTGTTCCTTTTCCCCACATCATGTAGCCAGTATCACTCATGGTGTAAATATAAAGGTATGGTGGTCTGTAACATCATGTGTCTGTGTTTCCTACAGATGTTCCACAGCTGGTGCTGGTTAAAGAAGAAGCTCCTGAAGAACAGAGTGCTGGTGTGGACCAGCAGGACCCAGAACACCTCCACATAAAGGAGGAACAGGAGGAGCTCTGGACCAGTCTGGAGGGAGAGCATCTCTGTTTGAAGGAGGAGACTGAAGCTGTCGGGTTTCCTGTTACTGCTGTTTCTATAAAGAGTGAGGAGGATGAAGAGAAACCTCTGGTCTCACAGCTTCATCAGCAGCAAATAGAAGACAGAGATGTTCCAACCAGCAGCTCAGCTGACCAGATGGCAGCAGAAACTGGTGGAGGAGCAGGAACTAGCAGGAACCCAGATCTGAACCCTCATGAACAAACATCTGATTCTTCAGAGACTGAAGTTAGTGGAGATGATGATGATGATGATGATGATGATGATGATGATGATGATGATGATGATGGTGTGAATCTGGACTCTGAGCTGTCAGACTCTGGGTCTGAAACTGGAGATGAAGATGATGACTGGAATGAGAGCAGGTCTTCTGAGTCAGATGGTAAGTCTGTCAACAAGTTCTTCACAAGTGGTCTCTCCAGAGACACGTGAGGGAGACAAGTCATCCAGCAATAAGGTCTTCAGGCTGTTTGGTTCATAAGAAATGTGTTAGAGTGAAGCAACATGTAGACTCGTGCAGGAAAGTCCAGAAGAAACCTAAATCATTTAGTCATGATGAGTGTGGAGAAAGGTTTACTACAAATGTAAATAAACAAATCACATGAGAGTCCACACATAGCAGCTGCTGTTCCAGAGTATGGGCCAGCCTCATCCCACCCATACTCTGCTTCTGGCCGCTAACAAGATGGCGCCTGTGTTTGGAATAGCCACAGGTCCGTTTCCACATTCCCGCCTGGCCACGGGGCAGCGCCGTGTCTCCGTCCATGTTTCCTCGGGTCTGTTTATCCTGGTTCTTCAGTGGTTTCCCTTCCTGTTCCCTCCATGAGTGGACTTTACACACCGTGGATCTGACCTGCTAACTCCAGCTGTTTCTGCTTCTGGCAGGATCCTGGTGTAGGTACCCAGGAGTCCAGATGCTGCAGGATGAAGTGTAGAGCCATGCTGATGGTGTAACGTGATGGAAGTGGTTACTTTTACTGAATGATCAATAAGATGTGATATTCCATCTAATTATAAATGATCAATCTTATTGGTCTTTGAATATTTGATTTAATACGACCTTAGGAACACACACTTCATATTAATTCAGACAGAGTCAAGAATATAGTTTATAAAAATTAGTTTAATTCTATATTTCTAAACTAATGATTACATGACTGTTAGGGATTTTATCAATAACCCAATACCTGCAGCTGGAGAGAGAGGAGAGACAACAAGCAGACAAGTCACCAAACTGCAATCAGGGGCAGAAGCTCAAGGCAACGGCCCCGAGTTTCTGCTCTCAGAGTTTATTTATAACAAAGATAAGTGTGTGTGTGTGTGTGTGTGTGTGTGTGTGTGTGTGTCTGTGTGTGTGTGTCTGTGTGTGTGTCTGTGTGTGTGCTTTTAGACATAGAATAATACATTCAGTTAATAATAAACATAACATAATCCCTCCTGTTTATCCGAATAGGATAACCAAACAAAAATAAAACAAGAACAAATAAAGTAATCAAAACCTTCAAAACCTCTCGATTCACTGCGCTTCTCTCTCCAGCTGCTCTCAGGCCCTGTCCACACGTAGCCGGGGTTTTTTAGAAACGAATATCCGCCCCTCCAAAAACTTGCATCCACACCACCTCGTTTAAAAAAACTCTGTCCACACGTACCCGGATAAATACGTTGTTAAGGACATGCCAGACCTGTAGGCGGCAGTACTTCCCCCGTTCTTAACCTCGTCCTTAGTCTGTGGTCTTCCGCAAGGAGCAGTAATTCCGCTTGCAAAAACAAACAAGCAAAAAGCGCTTGGACAATTGATAAAGCGAGCGCAGCTCTGAGGGCATACATGCTGTCGGCTAGTGTAAACACAGGTCGCACACGTGATGTCAGCATTTTTTGTCGCGGAAAGTGACGATGCGGACCTTAAAACTCCGGTTTTGTCTGTCCACACGCAGACACCCAAAACGGAGAAAACGCAGATCTTCACTTTGGCCGGAGTTTTTAAAAAGATCCGTTTTTGTGTGGGTGACAGGCAAAAACGTAGAAAAATATCTACGTTTTGGCAGATCCCCGGCTACGTGTGGACAGGGCCTCAGTCTGGCTTTTCAACTGTTTGTGCAGACCTCTTAATCAGCTGATGTGCACCAGCTGCCCTGTGGGGAGCAGCAGCAGGCCAAAGGGTTCCAGATAATGGCTCCCTCTGGTGGGGGAATGTAGCTGGATCATGGGGTTCACCTCACAGGATGAACAGAGGGAGATAAACTCATCAGCCCAAATACAGGGGGCTGTAACATGAGTGTGAATTAGTCTCATAAAATGTTTAAAAATATATGATGATCCCTGATCATTTTTGTCACGCATATATTTTCGTTTCTCTGAGCAGAGACTGTCTAAACATCATGGTAGAAAATAATTTGCATTTTGCAAAAAATCATGTTGATGAGTTTATTTTAATTATTCCAACAAGAAGTATGTAAATGCCAGAGCAGGTCACTACAGACCCCACAGACGGGAGGGGGGCATTGTGGTTGTCACCTTTTTCCACACCCCGAGTTTGCAGGTATGTTACCACCAGCGTAATTAGCAGTCTTACTGTATTTACGCTTATCCTTAGCCAGCAGTTTCAGGTAGGATTTAATGTCGCCCGCTCTGGCCCCAGGTAAACATTTGACTATGGTTGCTGGAGTCTCTGCCACGTTTCTGACTATGGAGCTGCCAATTACCAGAGTTGGGTTGTCAATGGGTGTGTCACTGAGTGACCCCAGCAGGGTCTAAAAAAATCCGGTCACAATCTATTTTTATCTGTCAACGTTTACTGCAGTTACGTTAATCACTTCAGACAAAAAGTTGGGTTGGGCATCGTTTGAATCTGAACGATTCCCCTGTTTCGATTCCAGTTCCTAACGATTCCTGATTCTTTCAAGGTCAAAAACATTACATTTTTCAAATGAGCCAACTAACCACAGGTCCTACTTGGACTTGAATTTTAATTCTATGAACAATAACATCACCTTTGTTTAGACTAAAACGTTTTCAAAAGAGAAACTAAAGAAAGACCGTCAGTGTGTTTATTTCTGACCATAACTCACAGCCTTCTACTCACAACCAATGTGAAGAAGCCTCTAGGATGAGAAGAAAAACGTCTTCAAGATAACCAGAAATGTCCAGCTGTTTTTATATTAAAGCTCAGGATGATCATGTCCAGGATGACAGAGAATCTTCACCTAATGCAGGAAATGCGAGCAGAGGTGGAAGAAATCTAGGTCACAGCCCTCATTTGAAGACATGAGGTCTGCATGGTGTTCCTATCAAATGGCTGTAAAAAAGGCAAAATCCACTTTTTTTATCTGATATTATTAGCTCTAATGAGCATAGCCTAAGAGTACTATTTTCTACCGTGGATGAGATTTGAAATCCTTCGTGTGCAGGTGGACTTAAAGTCTCCTCGACTACTGCTGAGAGGTTTCTGACATCATTTATTGACAAAACTGAAACTATTCAAGCTCAAATTCCCCAGCAGTTTAGTTTTATTGATGAAGAAATCTGTTTTGACTCAACTATTTTGAATTCTTTTGACTCTGTATCCCCAGATATGTTGGATGAAATTGTTGGAAGGATGAAACCATCCAGCTCTGCACTCGACATCATTCCATCCTCTATTGTTAAAAATGTTTGGCAAGTTATTTCAAATATGGTTCTTAATGTAATCAACTCTAGTCTGCAGTGTGGGGAAGTTCCAAAGAGTCTGAAAAGAGCTGTAATCAAACCCCTTCTTAAGAAACCCGGTCTTGATGTCTTGGTATTATCCAGTCATCGACCTATTTCTACGCTGCTATTTCTTTCTAAGGTTCTTGAGAAAGTCGTTTTTAAGCTATTGTCAGACCATTTAGAGCAGGGGTGTCAAAATCACAAGGGGCCGAAATGAAACTCTGGGACGGAGTCGAGGGCCAAACTTAATATTTTTGAAAAAGTGACGGCAAATTTGCACATTTTCTTTATCAACATAAATGCAATTTTGAACCTTTAAATTTGGAAACAAACTTATTTCTGCATTAACACTGAATGTGGAATAACCAAATTACACACGAGCAAGTCAGTTTGAAATAAAAGGCATCAGTGGTATTCATTACTTGTGGTATAATCAGCATTTTTAAAATCTATGCAGGATTTATGTTTTCTTGTTTATTCATTTTTCTTATTTTTTATTCTCCTTTTTTTCTCCTGTAATACGTGTCATCGCTGCTGTGACGTCTAGCTTTCCCCACTGAGGAACAATAAAGGGATTTCTATTCTATTCATCTATCTGCAGCCTTTCCACTTCCTGTTTACTGTAGGTTAAATCTTTTCTCACGGGCCAACAACAAAATAAAAATATCATTTTATCTTAAATGAAAATGCAACATCTCACCTGTTAACTTTCATGTTTTGGAGCAGAAAAAGAGCATAAAACCAACATATTTAAAGCTCAGTTTGCTCCACTGGTTTACTGTGATGCTCACCTGTTCCAGCCAGATACCTGCATCATGGGGTTGACCTGAGCTGAGGAGGAGACTCCTGTTGTTTTGTTCATCTTCATCATAATAATGACAACATTAGATGACAACAGGTGCTCACATAGGTTTGTGCTGATGAACATGTCTGAGCAGCTTGACCACGTTGTTGTGTGTCGGGGAGGAAACACAACCACAGAGTCGTGCTGGTTTGAGCGTGTCGCTGCTCACTGGAGTTATATCAGCTCTGTCTGGACGTTAGTTGGAAAACTTTCTCTTTCAGTCATGAACACATTACTGAGCGGCTAGAATCTCCGTTTCTGGGCGTCAACGTCAGAAAATAGCTGAGTGAACTCGGCGCTGAGTGAGAGGAGTGTAGTTTGTCCGAGACAGCGGAGCTGCAGACACCCGGCAGCAGGCGCTGGAAAAAACACAAAGGAGGGGGCGCGTCGGCTCCGTGCTGACGCCGCAAAGCATCATGGGAGTTGAAGTCTTTGCTGTGAAATCGGCCAGGGGGGCCAGTTTTAATATATTTTTGATATTTATCTCGTGGGCCACATAAAAATGCTCCGCGGGCCTTGAGTCTGACACATGTGATTTAGATAATAACAAATTTAAGAAGTTTTTCAATCAGCTTTTAGAACAAAGCTTAGTACTGAAACTGCACTTGTGAGAGTGTTCAATGACACTAATGTGGGTGACAGTCGTTTTATTACTCTTAGATCTGACCGCTGCTTTTGATACTCTTGATCATGTTATACTTCTCAATCGACTGGAGAATTTTTTTGGTCTCTGGTTCAGCGCTCTTCTGGATGAGTTCCTACCTGGCTGACAGGTATGTGACTGTTAAGATTGGTAGCTTCTGCCTAAGGTATGCTCCCCTGAAATTTGGGGTCCCACAGGGCTCTGTAGT